AGCGATGGCCTTCAACCTAGAAGCAATGGCCTCCAATCTACTAGCGGTGGCCTCCAACCTAGAAGAGATGGCCTCCAACCTAGAAGAGATGGCCTGCAATCTACTAGCGATGGCCTCCAACCTAAAAGGAATGGCCTAAAATAGTGCTTTAAGAGTGAAAGACATGATTATTGAATTTATTTGAGTTTCTTTTCATTTTACTCCATGTTGTTTTCATGTTCCTTTTGGTTTCCTTTCTTTGCTCTTCAAAACATCGACCAAAGTCAAGGGAAATGAAAGGAACCAGCTCAAAACATAGTTATTTCAAGTAGCCACTGACTGGTGATTCTAAGTTTGCCTACTGTTTTTGAAAACACGCAAGTTTTGCCCAGAGGCATTCCAAAATCCAAAGCCCCAGTCGCACTTGTTTGCAAATGATGGTTGTGTTGCACTGCTTCTAAGTTGTTTGGGCCGCTTAAAAAAATTGGTGTTTTTTACTTTTTTTCAAAACACCCCTAGAACTTAGAATGCGCCACTTTTGGGGCATGCTAAGTTTATTTTCCTGCACAGGAGCGGTGTTTTATAGCCAAAATCTATCAAACATGATTTTTAGGAGTTTTATTTTTTTGGAAACGGAATGGCACAAAAGTCATTCTTAGTTTCGGGCCGTCGTTATAATGTTTTTGTTAAATTTTGAAAGCAGGCTCTCTCCAATGAAAGATGATTATAGAATTTTATAAATCTAGTGTGTGCTCTCCCAAGCACACCCGCTCTCTTTCAATTTCCTTCAAGCAAGCTGATAGAAACATCACCTAGAATGGCCAACATGCCCTGGTGTCTGACCTCTGAGTCGACGAAGCGTGAAAGTTGTGCTGCCTCAGAACTCCAGCAGCATGCAGCATGATGCCGCGAACCAGAGTTTGTCCATGCGCACTGACCGTTGACTCAACGCAAGATTCTGTGATTGTCTGGTGGTGTTTGCAGCTTATTTCAGCGAATCTGAGCGTCTCGGCAGCATGTGCCTGAAAGGCAGGACCCAGCGAGAAATCATTGCTCGTGTCCAGCGGGCTCTCCAGTGCCACAGGCGATCTCCTGAGTTAACAATACACGACACGCAAGAAGTTGTGAAAACCACATGTTGACAGGTTGAGAGCGTGACAATGCGATACCCATTGGAAAGGGGGGTCGCAAATGAAGCACCTCAACTTGGACCACTTGCGCAACTGCAAACATCTTCTGCAACAGGAAGGCACTCTGGGTCTCCCGCTGCACGCAAGTGCCTTGAGCCGTTGGTGGCAAACATTGGCAAGTCAAACAACCGAGTCAAACATTGATTCAACCTGGCCCAGTACGTAAGTCCGCTTGTAGAAGCACCGTCAATCAATATTGGTATCTACATGATTCTACATGTATCTACCAGTCTACCAGTAATTAGTTGTGTGATGTTGTGTCTTTTCTCCACAGCAGCTCGGTTTCTAATGGTGTACGGCTCGTTGATGTAGGCCGGCTATACTTCTTCTCAATTGCATCCCGAAGGGGGATACTTGGCCTGCATCCGTTCATTGGACAAATGGTGTGCTTCCCACATCCCGCATGTGGTTGCAGGAAATTGTGACGTTCTTGCCAAAATGGGGTTTATGGCGGCTGGTGTTGTAGTATTGTAGTGGGTCTGCTGGCTGGGTGCTTGTTCTGGCTTTATCATGCTTTATCTACAATGCATGCTGTATACGTGGGCAGCATGCAAAATGGTCTTCACTTGTCACTATTCTTCTCAGCCTTTCGCAGTGGCTGCCCTTCTGGGTAGCCTGTTTCACTTTGACATCTTCCTGCAAACTGTTCTGAGTGCATACACGTGATGTGCGCATGCATGACAAACTAACTATCGTTGCTGGCACGATGGGAAGATTTATGCATGCACGGTTCCAGACAGCAAGGGATCAACATGATAAAGTTAAAACTCGGCAACCTACTGAAAAATGACTCAAACAAGAAACTCAGATTCCAGAGCAACTCAAATGAGAGACTCAAACTAGACTCAGCAAAAAACACAAGGAAAAATAAGAAAGACACAAGGAAAACCGCAAGAGAAACTTGAGGAACAAGTAAAAACAGCAAGTCTTTGCGTAGAATTGAGAAGAACTCATGAAAACAAGCCTCAAAGAAAGACACAACTTGCTTCAAACTTGCTTCTTGAGTAGTTGTTGAGTTTCTTTTGGCCTGATTGGAGTCTAATTTGAGTTCTTTAAGTTTGTGTGGAGCTTTGCTGTTGAGTGTGTTTGGGATTTGAGTTGTCTGTTTTGAGCTTGTTTGACTATTTGTGGAGTTCTTTCTATGATTTCAGCCCATCTGGTCACTGTGTTTTCTTAAGCTAACCTTGGGTCCCTGGGGTTCTAACAGCAAAATCAAAAAAATGATTGATTGATTGATTGATTGATCGGTTAAATTTCAAAGCCAATACCAATACCCAAGTAGTGATAGCTTACCTGGAAGTCTTGGAACCGTTTCGACCATGTGTGTAGGTTTCTACAACTTAAGAACACTTTTCCCGCCCCCAGGTGGGAGAAGGGAGGAAGAAGTTTCCTTGAAGAACTTTGCTCGAGCCCTGTTGTGGGCAGTAGCCTACTTAGGCTAGCATTTACCTTTTCCCGGCCTATCACCCCACCTCCCTTTAAAAGGACAAGTCAAAACATGAACATGAACTCCATAGATAAAAACCTTAGTTTAGTTCTGTCCGAGCTGCTCAGCTTCAACGAGGGACACCAAACAAAAGAAGCGTCCAGGTTGGACAGGACACCTGAGGCGACACTTAAAAGCAACACTTATCAGTTGCACTTATCAAATCTTAGTCTTAGATGGCATTGAAACTCAAAAGCACCACATTTATCAATCTATTAAGGAAAAGCACCTCTGCAACTGTGGCTGATGTGTGAGTGAGACTCGTGCAAACAGGGCAACCATGTGCAACTGCAATGAAAAGGAAAGGCTGCCACGCTGGAGATTCTGCAGCCACCACACGTCGCAGCTCACTCACACTCCTGAACAACAACTATCAAGTGTTGAAGCTATTCTTGACCTCTCATCTGTCAGTAATCTGCAAACATATATGCATATAATATACATACTGTCCTTTAGGGTCAATCCATCTCCACATACTCATATTTCACACATGATGTCCGCTCAAACCTATATATAATATGTATATATATATATAGTTCCAAGCAAATGCAAACATCATCTCCTTGGCAGGTTGAATTGACCTTCACCCAATCCGGCAGTCGACACGTGTATACCTCAGGCTTTCTAGCAATGGTTGCTTCACATTGCAAGTCATAGGACCTGATAAAGCCCGTTACACTCCAGCAAAGACTTTGCTTGTGCTTCAGTCAAGTCCTGGAAACATAAAGGGAGGCTTCAGCAAAATGGATAATGCCAAATCTCTACCGACTGACAAACGGAGCTTTGGCTGTCCTCAGTTCCCTCGAGCTCGCAAGCTCGTATTGCAGCTTGAAGTGCATCTTCTGGGGCGACGCCCTGTGAAGTCGGTGGAGTCTCACTCCAGGCAGCAGGAATCAAAGTACAACCCAGCAATAGACGATACCGAACATGTTGTGCGGTGACTATGTTTGGCTTTGCCAAACACTGACAATCTGGGGAAGAAGGGTTTCCACAGCAAAAGTGCCAGTACTACTACGTAACATTCCTCTAATCGGATGCTCTCATGGCCATCTGTTTCTGTCTCAAAGAGCACGACATCCAAAATCTGGCGCTTGCGGCTCAACATTAAACTAGTTCAATGTTGAGCAGTCCTGCAAACAAACGCAAAAACAATGATAAAGTTGTCGCGTTCGAACATATCCAAAGCACAAAATATTGGAAGAAAACAAAGAAAAACAGGGACTATTAAGGAGGCCCTTACCTTCCATGTGTTTCTTTTCTAAATAAAGTATCAGTGCCTTCCTTCGTTTTGCTTGGAGTAGTCCCAGGGCAGTACATGCTTCATAGCTGTGAATACCATGCCCTCCCATCACACATGCCCAAGAAAACCTTTGGAGCATACCGAATACCTCTACTGAAACTTCCTGACCAGCTTGCACGTGGGATTGCAAGGGATAAAACTGTTGCTGTGTTGGTCAAATAACGTCCATGCACACGTGAGACATGCCTTCCAGCTCAGATCTGGCACTCCCTACCATAAGTCAAGCATCTTTGACTCCATCCAAGGACAGCTTCACCACAAATTGGAAAAACAACTGAGAAATACAGTGACCAGGTCCAACAGCAAGGTTTACATTCACAGCATGCCGTGGTGCTGATTTGTTGCCACTGTTGCTCACACTCGTGGACCTTGAATTTATTATTGTCTAGTCTGTACGCCCCTCTGAGTACCGGAAAGCAAGCAGCCAACCTTTATTCTGCGCTGATCAGCTTTTTCGGCAACGAATCAACAGTTGCCGCAAGCCTGAAGGTTCTGCCACATGTGCTTTGTGCGGCCTCCAGGTGCCTGAGGGACTGACAACAAACTGATGATTAAGTAAGTAGTGTGCATGAAATAACGAAAGGCTAACCGATGAGCGACATATATAACTCAGGCTGGTACCCATTCAATCAGCATGATGCAATTCTTCAATCTTCGGACCTGGAGTGGAAGAGTACAATGAGTCCAACAGCACCTCGTGACTTGCTGAGTGCTTCACAGTTTTTAGTCGCCACTTCTGTCGAAAGTAGTTCCTGGCAGGTTGTTGTTACAGTAACCCTAAACATGCTCTGCTTGCTCTCTGGCAGGTTGTGGTTAAGTGTGTATTGAGTTAGCGTTGCTGGTGCGCGGGCCCTGCTGCACTGTATGCTTACTCTTCAGCAAAGACAGCCAGCCCCACTGCGATGCCAAAAACCAGGCAGGAAAGCCCAGGCACTTCTGCGCCTTGTGCAAGACAGGAAGACGTGGCAGAAAGGACGTCATGTCTCAAGCGTAGTGACATCCCTTGAATTGTTGTCTTTTCCACAACCACTCAGCCATCTCGTTGCCTGGAGCAACTTGCCGTTGAAGACTGACAGTCCATCACCTGTGACTGATCACCATGTCTCTGAGAGCGGAAAGGCCAAAGAACACCAAACATCAAACACATACAGAGTGCAACACGGTCTGCTCTGATGAAGTGCCGATCCCAAAAACGAAGCCCAACAAAATGATAGAAGCTGTTGAGGCAGCTTGTCTCCGGGCCAAGAATCCCCGGCATTTGCGGAAGGATCGGTGAAGTTATGCCAATGTTGCATTATATTTGTGTGCGCGAGAGAGAGAGAGAGAGAAAAAACAGAAATGAATGCTGTGGAGGAATCAGTTTTTCCACGTGTTCAAAGACTCACATTTTCAAGTGTTGTTCAAAACGGTCCAAAATATAGATAAAACCGCTATTAAAAAATAATAACCTTTGCTGTATAGATAGAAACATATCAAATGAAAGCATTTACAGTAAAGAAAAGCATACTAAAAGAACGGCCTTAAAATGATAATTTCACAAAGGGGGTCGAATTTAATGTTGCTTGGGAGTGGGGGGAGCAATAATTTGTTTTGGAGGGGCTACTCAGCTAAGTACGGATTACTCAGATACAGTAAGTAAGTGCTATTTATATAGTTAAGCCTACACGAATCTCTAAATCTAGAACATCACACGCAGCCATCTTTGCGGTCAAGGCAAGAATGGAAGCAATGAAGTGCTGATGATGAGCAAACAAAAATAACATACATGTTTTAACAATCCTTGTGGCAACCTCCAGCACGAGCTGCCCTATAAGCCTTTCATTGAAAAGTAAAAGCAAAATGACGGGGCGGGATCACTAGGGGATCCTCCCCAGTTATATTTCAACTTTGTCCAGCTATGGGGTCTGCACCATTATGCGAGGCAAATGGGCAGGCAGGCATTAGCATGTATAGGTATCAAGGTGACGTGTTTACTGTAGCTGAGAAAGAGGTGCAAAGCTCTTTCAAGGAAAAACAACAAGGACCAATTGGCACCCTAATGTGTGAAGAGAGCGTATTTGGCCAAAATGCAGGGTGATGAAAAAGTATGGAGATGGCCTCAGGAAGAGCACTCAAAGTTCATGAAGCATGAACTATTGTTTGATCGAGGCCTGATGAGTGAAGAGCTGGAGTTGGCATTGACAAACGGAGATGCTGAAAATTTGAAGTGATCACCAAGGATCAATGAAGACTGATGGGGTGGGAGATCAAACCATGGTCTTGAGATGGCTTTGCATTCAAATTGCAGCAAATGACAAAGAATTTGGTCCATTTCAGGTGCTAATTGGCATTAATTGGGTAGACCGGAATACATGTCATTGACAACAAGGACTCTCTTGCATGATCAGCATGGTGGTGAAATCGATCATATTGGCCATGCAAAGATGGTGCTTGACATCCATCTGTTGCTGCAAGAGTAGGCATTATGTAGGAATCTGAGACTTGCAGATCAGCGATTGAGAACATATTGGGTGATTTCCTACAATGCGGACTGATAGGTGAGTCTATGCTCAATTTCCCATCACCATCACCCAACAGGAAGAATGTTGCCACTAGGCAGGGGATGGGGAGGAATCAATGTGGCGGCTTTGTCGCATCATGCATGACGGAGGAGGTGGTAGCACTGGAGGTCAGCAAGAATTGGCTGATTGAACAAATTAGCTAAAGCATTAAAACACAATGTGAAAAAAACCGGGATGAAACAAATGAAGGAACATGATGATAAGAATCTGAAGGCATCCCAAAAGCTGCAATATGAGAGGAGCCAAAAGGAGCTTGGAGAAGGGCACTGAACTAAATAAACCGGAGGAATTGCCCCGTAAGGTTGTCAATGAGGGCCACGAGAGCTCACAGGGTCATGGATGCTGAGAAAGGAAGGGAATAGATTAGGAAAAAAACTTGCATTGGCTGGCCAAATGGGATCAAAATATGTAACACCATTGGCTCGAACAGCCTATCCTTATCAAATCTCATTGATTGGGCACCTTGCCAAAGGCATGAACCAACGGCAAAGGGATCACGTACGCATCGACAATTGGATCACTTGCGCATCGAGGCTCACTTACGCATAGATGGTGCTATATCACCACGTCTTACATCTGCGCGCAGCCGATACACACAGTTCTCTGTGATATAAGGATGGCCACTTCTTTGTGATCTAAGGGGCTTTTTCGATGACAAATCTGATAAGTTGGGAGTCGTGTGTGTGTCACACTCTGTATCTAAGAGTTTCTACCTCTCAACTGTTTCAAGCAGGGGGACATGGCGTGCGTTCAGGGACCATGTCCAACGAAGCTACCTGACACACCGGAAGCACTGAGAGACGTCTCGGTGTGTACCTGCTGAACTGTTTCCACAAACTTCTCCACGGTTTGATTCATGGTTGTTCACATGATACCTCCCTTAAACCTTTCCTTTGCCGCGTTTCCTGCAGCTGAGTCGCGCTGAGTCTCGCCACCGCAGACATGTCAACAGATTGTTCAAACAATACAAGTGTGCTGACCCTTTCACCTTGCGGTTCCATCACCATTTTCGACCGGGGAACTGAGTTAACTGAAAACCCATTGTCAAAGTGTGTGCCGCTGCGCCGTCCCACTTGGATGCACAGTGTGATCCCCGTCACAGGGGCGCCGTCTCATACTGGAGTACCACTCACTGATTTTTTCCGCGTTCTGCACTCGTTGGATTATCTTAACGGACTTTCGTTTCACCACAGTATTCCCAAAAACCTAAGCCGCCGGGCCTCCGGAATTGCGACCGAACTTCCACGCCGCCGGGCTTACGGTCATATATATGTCACACACACACACTCTTCCACGCACCCCCCCAACTTGCAACCGAATGCGTACTGTTATCCCACCTGCTATCTAGGGTAACAGAAGGAAATGGTACTCGACACACTTGTGTGTCGGTGCCTTTCCTTCTGTTTCTCCTGTCCTAGTCCTAGCTACCCGAGCGGTTTAAGAATAATGTCCCGCTCGCTCACTAGTGCACTTAATTCACGCGGCTAAGTATTCAGTAACTAGCAGGTTTCGTAACTAGTGGGCCTCCTAACGAGGTGGTTAGTAAGTTCCTCCAGAGCGCCGATATCGGCGCTCTGTGTGTGTTACACTCTGTATCTAAGAGTTTCAACTGTTTCAAGCAGGGGGACATGGCGTGCGTTCAGGGACCCAGGGACCATGTCCAACGAAGCTACCTGACGCACGGGCAGCACTGAGAGACGTCTCAGTGTGTACCTGCTGAACTGTTTCCACAAGCTGTCACCCTACTTCTCCACGGTTTGATTCATGGTTGTTCACATGATACCTCCCTTAAACCTTTGCTTTGTCGCGTTTCCTGCAGTTGAGTCGCGCTGAGTCTCGCCACCGCAGACATGTCAACAGATTGTTCAAACAATACAAGTGCGCTGACCCTTTCACCTTGCGGTTCCATCACCATTTTCGACCGGGGAACTGAGTTAACTGAAAGCCCATTGTCAAAGTGTGTGTGTGTGTGTAACCTTTGGAGTCACAAGGTTCCTGGTGGAATGTGTTTCGTGGCCGTTTGAAGTTTTATGCAGGGGGTGGCAGCAGAAACGAGAGTCTGCCACCAACGAAGACACTCTCACTTTCCTGGTGATACTAGGCCCAGCGTACCTGCCTCAAACACCATGACTCCAGTGGTCCGCCCTGACCCAGGCTGTTTTGCAGGTTTCTCAGGCGCTGTAAAGTGTTAATGCATTCTGCAGTCATGCACGAACGCCTTCAGCTTGTCGCCGCGTTTCGGATTCGGGCGTTGCCAATTTGGAGCCTTTAGAACCTTTGGAAGGTTTTGAGAACTTTTTGAGACGCTGAGGACTTCTACAACTCACCTGGAACCTTAGGCTTTTCACTTAGGCCGGCGTGTGGCAAGCCGCAACCAAATCAGTACGCAAAATATTAAGTGTGTCTGGCTTCACTGCAGGGTGACCCCGCAGAGTGGCCCCTGTGGACCCGTTGAACGGGGGTTTGTCGAATGTATCCCCTGCCCGGATACAAAGCAGCTCGCAGCGAGCGTAGGAGGCTTATGCCAAAGTTATTTGCCAAGACTTGCTGAAGTATTGAACTCCAAGGTGGCTTTATGCCTTTACGTGACCGGAGCGGTCAAAGCAGCCAGCCGTTTTGGCACGGCGCAAGGTGACCACAGCGGTCAAAGTACTTTGAAGGTTCATTGGAACCTGTCGTAACCTTAGGTGCACATACCGCGTCTACAAGTAAACGAGCTTTGCCCAGGTGTTTCTAATGATGTTTGGCTTCATGAGTTCTCGTCCCCTCCATTTGGTTCCCCTTTTCATCCTTTTCCCCCTTTGCACACATCTGTTTCCTTTTCTTTCATGTCCTCCTGTCTTCATGTCTGGTCATCTCATCCTTTCTTTCGTTTGCACGCACATGGGTCCCGGCCTTAGTGTGTACGCGCGCAACCTACTTCAACCTAGGTTTCAGGTCGCCCAGATCTTTATAATGAGGCGGGTTTCATTGGTTGTCCCTGTGCACTTGGTTCCCTTTCTTCGCAACCACACACACCTTTGTCCCGTCTGGTCTCCCTTTTCATGTCTTCATTCTTTTGTCTTGTTGCGTGCGCACTTACACTTTGCCCTGACCTTAGGCGTGTGTGTGTGTGTGTAACCTTTGGAGTCACAAGGTTCCTGTTGGAATGTGTTTCGTGGCCGTTTGAAGTTTTATGCAGGGGGTGGCAGCAGAAACGAGAGTCTGCCACCAACGAAGACACTCTCACTTTCCTGGTGATACTAGGCCCAGCGTACCTGCCCCAAACACCATGACTCCAGTGGTCCGCCCTGACCCAGGCTGTTTTGCAGGTTTCTCAGGCCGTGTAAAGTGTTAATGCGTTCTGCAGTCATGCACGAACGCCTTCAGCTTGTCGCCGCGTTTCGGATTCGGGCATTACCAATTTGGAACCTTTAGAACCTTTGGAAGGTTTTGAGAACTTTTTGAGACGTTGAGGACTCTTACAGCTCACCTGGAACCTTAGGTTTTTCACTTAGGCCGGCGTGTGGCAAACCGCAACCAAATCAGTACGCAAAATCTTAAGTGTGTGTAGGTCGGGGGGGAGGTGGAGGGGTGGGATAATTAATGGAATGATTTTCCCATGGCCAGGTTAAGTTCTATACGTAATGGTAGAAAATTGTGGCACCTAACCGTTGCGTCAAACCCATCGCTGTACATGTTTGCGCTCACGTCACAAGCGATCCAAAACCCGACACACAAGCGATGCCCCGCCCTGAGCCAACAACGGGCCAGCATGAGCAGCAGGCTTCTTGGGAGTTCATAGTAGTTTAAGAAGGTGAAGAAGAAATGAGTTGGCAACAAGACCATAGGATGAGGGCTTGGTGAAAATTGTACGAGAGGGAAGAAAGGGAAGAGAGGTGATAAATTTTAATCTTGCGCGGCATTTTGGTGAATAAGTTTAGTGGATACCCTATTTTGGGGAATTGCCAGAAGGCTTCTTTGAAAGGCAGTTAGTACCGGAGGAAGTAGGGCCAAACTGATAGGGGGTGTTCAAGAATCCAACATCTCAATCCGATTCGTTTAAGAGATTGCCTTTGAGACGTTTATATAAAACATGTCATACAATGCTGATTATTTGTTTTCATTTGTTTATATAATCATAATCGAAACTTTTGACCTTCCTACTATGAGTATCTACAACTTATATATGTATATAATATATATATATATAAATTCAGTATTGTCTGCCCTGCTTCAATTTGAACATTGACACACACACAATCTGATCAATTTGGCAAACAAAAGCTGCTGCAAGGTGCTGTTCGTCCTAGTTCAACAACATAGGGAAGAGCGGAAAATGGTCGCAAAACGAAAGGTGGTGGCAAGAATAAATCTTCTTTCGGCTCCAATTCCTCACCAATTCCTCACCCTAACTACACATTGATAAGGGCCCGACAACAAGCGTAAAAAGGACAGCTGCTATCCAGAAATTTGGGCTCTCGAGAGAGAAGATCTGGACTCCATGGTGTTTCACCTTCCAGCAATGAAGAGGAATTGGGACGCTTCCATGCACAATCGGGAGGTCTGACTTTTTGCACGATCTCCTCTCAACAATGCCTTGCATATTGTGATAGCTGGCTGTGCTGCTCCAATGTTGCCAATTTGCAAAGTCCGTCGCAGTGTCAGTCACAACAAATAGCAGCACACCCTCGTCTTCTCTGGAGTACTTCTGCTCAGCAGCAGTCTCCTTGAAACTTTGAAAGGTGGCCAGTGCCCTCCCAAGTTGGTTTGTCAAGACCCGACCTCTTCATCCTCACGCTCTATCTCTTCCTCTTGCTCCTGCTCCTCCTCTTGTTCCTGCTCCTGTTCCTCCTCTTGTTCCTCTTCTTGCACCTCAAAACGCCAGCTGAGGACCTATATAAGCAAACCTTGAAACTCATTGACTGGATCTGAAATATACTGAAATTATATATCTAGGTGCGCCTGCTCCTGGTCCATTTTTGAGCCAGCTCGAGGCCGTGCCTGTGCGTGTCCCACGTTGCCCTTGGCAAGGCCATCAGCCTCAAATGTAGCCATCAGTGCCTACTTCACTGCTTCACCATATGGATCCTATGAGCTTGGCCTCAGCGACCAGCTGTTTGCCACTTTGATGAGCCTGGCACTGTTCAGTGCCGTGAACAACTTCACAAACTTAATGTTGTAAAGAGTTTAATCAATGCAACATTTGCCTAGACATGCGAAGAAACTTCAGAGGTAAAACTCTACCCAAGCTTCTGCGGAAGAAATCATTGGCCCACCCACCGGTGAGATAGGATGCAAAGTGCCGTTTTTTTGCATGGGAGTGCGGCAAATACGTGTGGCAACAAATGTGGCCCCTGCCTGATGGTAGGTTTTCGTTACAATTACAAATCGTGTATGTGCGTTGAGACCGGGGATTGTCGCAAACCACAAAAAATGGAGCGAAGACGGCCACAAACAGCCATAAGGAAACCTGAAACGAAGCTTTGTATCCTGATCAGCTTGCTTGGGGACAAGCTTCTATAGAGCAAACCTCAATAGAAATAGCAAAAGGAAAAACGCATGGAATCATTAAAGCAGTGCTCAGATATACTGACGTTAGCCGTTCCTCATACATAGCCGCTCCTCATTCCTTTATTCAAGCGCAAGGTCGAAGGAAATGAGAATCAAGGTCGGGAACGGAAGTCAAGTATTGGGGCTTAAAGTTCAGGCTGGCCAGTGAAGGGAGTGAGACCGAGTGGTGAAAACAAGTTGGGTGTGATGAAGAAAGGCGGAGGTAGAATACAACCACTTAAACAAGAACCGCATACAATGATCTGGAAAAACACATTAAACATGATACACATACAAAGGATATACATATATATATATATACATCACTTTTCCACCTGCTGAGACGAAGCTTCCCTGGCATGACATCAACCCCCCATCT